ACAATATTTAAATATCTTATTAAGTCATGTAATAAATGTTTTTATTTGGCTTCTTGTTCCACTTGGCTAGAGACACACAGTTTGTTAATGGAAGAGACATGGATTGAAAATTTTAACACTCTGTTAAATGATCTTTCAATTTATAATCTCTGTATTTCATAAAGATGTGCCAAAACTTGAATACTTAAAGTAATACTTCCATTAATAAATGATTCTCTTATGGCCAAATAGCTCAAGGGCCAGCCAAATAGCTCAGCAGAACAAACCACCTTCAAGCAGGCGCAGGGACCAGGGGTTTGATCCCTGGGCCTGCCATGCCAGTCCCATCCCCGGGTGCACTGATACAGTAATTGAGACCGGTGTGGTGGTGTGTGCCTGTAATCCCAGCTCTTGGAAGGCTGTAAACAGGCCGATCATTTTGAGTCCTATCTAGTAGTGAGATCCTGAATACCCTGTAGAACCTTCCCTAAAATGCAGGGGAGAAAAATGCTGCTCTTTACAAACAATAGCATTTGACAAAATTTTTCTTGTTTTCGCAGCAAACTCTCTGGTGACCAGCACAATCCAGGCCATCCTCCCCACACAAACACAAATGTAGTCATCTTCCTCCAAGTCAGAAAACAAATTGAGTTTGTAAATTAAAGTACCACTTTATTTGCATTATAAGTAATTTCAATATGAATGCAAATATTATTACACTATATAGATGATAGATAGATAGACAGATACATAGATACATAGATAGATCTATAGATATAGTTATTTAAGGTATGTTATGTGAAGTAATTTTGCAAAACACTTTACATAAACCCCTTCACATTTCTGGCTTACATGTATATTGCCTCTGAGACAGTAACCAAGAAACACACAGGAATTTTGTCGTGATAGCAAATGTTTATGATCTTAGCACTGTAGGAGGCAGAGGCAAGGACTGAGAGTTTAAGATACGTCTGGGAAACATATGCACTTAAGAAGACCTTATCTCAGGATGAAAATACTTTTATAAGATGGGGCATAACTCAATGCAAAGGCCCTCAGCTCCATCCTCAATTCAAAAGGAAAGAAGAAAAAAGAAGGGCGGGTAGGGAGGGAGGGAGAAAAAGAGGGGTAAAGGTAAGGATAGAGAATAGTAGGGAAGGGAATAGAAGAGAAAAGAGGAGAGAAAGAAAGAAAAGAAAAGAAAAAGAAAATTTTTGCCCACTTTTCCTCAGGAGCAGATGAACATGAGCAGGAGGAAAAGCCTCAGCACTAATGCGTGCATGGCTGAACTCCAGACTCCAGGATCTCTTGCAGCTACTCTCTTCTCCTTAGCTATTTGTCACTAATTGGCCTTTGTCTGTAAACTGCTCATGTCAGAGTATTTATCATCTTTTATTTTCAACATCCTCATTTAATGTTAAATATTTTGTACTTAAAATTATCAAGGAAATTAAATAATAAAATTAATGAATTAACCTTTAAGGGCACCTGCTGCTTGGTAGAGGGCTAAGAAATGCAAAGTGAGGAGGTTATTGTTATTCTATATATTCTCTCATGGAGGTGTAATAAATATTAATTGCAGCCCTGTCCTAATCCTAGGCCTACAGGGTATTGTTTAGACTTGGGTCAATATTTGTGGCCCACGTGCAGAGGAAAAAATATTTGATTAAATTATTTAATGTTTATATCCTCAAAATCTGATGAGCCTTTAATCATTTCATTAAATCATTACAACATTTGGTTTTTATTACAGTTGTTTTAAACAGATTTAAATTCTCAGGTATATGAAATTTGTCTATGTATATACATATATGCATTTCAAGATGAGCCTAATGTTTCACATTTCCTAAATTATAAAACGTTGCATGCTATGTAATTACTATTTCTTTACTGGAAGTAAATAAAGAAGTAAAATGAAAAAAGTTGACACAAAGATCGCTGAGATGCAAGATAATTCTCACACTACTTTGGATTTGCATGCATTTTTCTCCATTGTATCAAGTGAAACAGCACTTTGGCATTGGTAGAAAAATAATTTTACATCTAAGCCTATTTTGTGGCTGGGAGATTGGGATCAGTAAATCCAGCTGGGAGGGTATTTTCTCTTAATCCATATTTTACTACCCACAAAAAGAGCACAGGATAGAGGACAGAGGAAGCAGACTGAGATCAGTAGAAGAGGAAAGACCATGGTAGCCTAGGGAAAAAAATAAAATTATTGACAGGTTTGTAATTGATATTTCACACATTTTGTTTATCCTAAGATTTTTTGGTAGATCTTCTATTGCATAGACCCATTTAAAATGAGGTATAACTATTTATAAAATTAAAACATTTTAAGACAAGTGGCAATGTTTGTCAGAAAAATAATTTTATAATAATTTTTATCATTGAACCCTAACATGAACCAGTTTGTGAAATGAGTTTCAAAAAAAATCAATCTAACTTTCAGCTAAATATTCTTAGTAAAACAAAAAATATTTTTCTTAAGATAAATGATTCTTGTATTCATTGAAATATATTTTGAAAATTTGTTGTAAATTAATATATTAAAAACAATAGCAACACCATTATAAATTATTTCTATGATTTTGAAGTGTTTTAAACTGAAATTGCAAAAAAATGCAAATGTCAAATACATAGAAAATCCAAAAAAAATGTGGTAGATGCAAAAAGTGTGACACTGTAGTAGCTTATTCCATTCCATTCCCTCCAGAAAAAAACAGACCCTGTATTTTAACAATTTTGCAACAGTTTTGATCCACAATTAAAACTTCTGATTTTATATTCCAGGCTTTCTTTTCTCCCTCTCCTAGTTTTTGTAGCAAATTGATGCTAAAGTTATATACCTGAATGCTAATTTCATGAAGTAGAATCTGTCTTCTATGGAACAATCTTTTTAATGGCCAGTTAAAGACAAGCCCTTGAATGAGTTTTTTAAAAATTTATTTATCATTTACTTTCCAAGAAAAACTTTATTGTGATAGTGTTTGAGGTCCACCTGAGCATGTTTAATAAAATAATAATGACTCATTTTAAGTGGGGAAGGGTTCCATTCCAACCCCACCCCCACCCCTGCCTTGGTCTGTATATTGTTTTTGTGATCTGAATGTCACATTTCTTCAACCAGCAGAAATTGTTTCCTTATGATTTTCTGTGTCTGAATATGCTTTACCAGTTTATACTAACCTTGAAAAATTTTCTTTTTCCCATTTCAAGTTCCACCCAATCTGACTGTTCCACAGGAAAAATCACCTTTGGTCACCAGAGAAGGAGACACAATAGAACTGCAATGCCAAGTAACTGGGAAGCCTAAGCCTATCATCCTGTGGTCTAGAGCGGACAAAGAAGTTGCAATGCCTGATGGGTCAATGCAGATGGAGAGCTATGACGGGACACTGAGGATTGTGAACGTGTCTAGGGAGATGTCAGGGATGTACAAATGTCAGACCAGCCAGTACAACGGGTTCAACGTCAAGCCGAGAGAAGCCTTGGTGCAACTCATCGTTCAGTGTAAGTAAATTCTACATCTGTGTATCTTGAGTTGAAGGCAAGGGAAGAAACTATGCCCTTAGAGAATACGATAAGGTAATTTTAAAAATTGGATCGTGCTGAACTCTTTCTACATCACTGCTACTTAATCTAAACATTTTCCCTAAACGTGTTCGTTAGTTAGTTATTTCAATATAGTTGCCTGTGTCTGTAGGTGATGATTCTGATGATGTTGTATGCTTGGTTAATGTCAAGGAATCAGCCTACCTGATGGTTACAAACTGTCCACGTATAATGAATCAAAGTGGAAAGTGGAAGTAATTACTAGCTCCAGTTACAAAGCGCTTGTTTTCAAAGTTTATATTTCTACTTCAGTGATCGCATGCCTTTTTATCCAAATTATCTACCTACATATTTCAGAGAATCCCTTTGGTTAAATTGTTTAGACCTCACCATTGAAATGCTGTTTGCATGTTTGAGGTTGTAATAGTAGAGCACTTTGTCCAGCAATACAGAAATAATTGGGGCTGGTCTTAAGTGTGGAATTTATGCATGACAACAAATATGCTTAATTGTGAGTCTTGAGTAGGTTAACTTTTAAACTGTTTTTGTTGAAATCATCGTTTTAGTTCTAACAACCAAAAAAAAAAAAAAAAAAAAAAAAACTTTGCACATTGCATTTTGCATTTGCTCTTAAAAGTGTCTAAATCCATCATTTAAAAAAAAATAAACCCATGAATTTAACAATCACTGAAAATATAATGATGCTACTATTATTGTTTATACTGACAAAATTCAGCATAAGAGTTTAAAATTTAATCCTGTAGTAGTAGATGTTAAAAAAAGTAGTCACAAGGGTCGGCGAGCTAGCTCAGCAGACTAAGCGCGTGCTTAGGCAAGCTCAGGGACCAGGATTGGAACCCAGTGCACTGGCCCTGTCCCCAGGTATGCTGAGGGCCATTGAGACCAGGCGTGGTGGTGCACGCCTGCAATCCCGGCACTGAGAAGGCTAAGACAAAGAGGATCACTGTGAGTCTAAACTGCGGAGTAAGACCCTGTACCAAATATATTAAAAAAAAAATACTGTCACAGTTATATTTGTTATGATAGCAGTAGAACTGATCAAAGACACCAAGCTATGTTTCATTCTTTTAATATAGCTTTTAAGGTGGGGGATGGCGGCCAGATAGCTTAGTGGACTAAAGTGCCTGATTAGGCAGCGCACTGGGACTAGGGTTTCATCCCTGACGTGAAGTACCGGCCCCAGCCCTGGGGCACTCTGAGATGGCAGCTCAGACTGGGTGTGGTGATGCGCGCCTATATTCCCAGTGCTTGGGAGGCTGAAAACAGGAGGAGCACCAGGAGTCTGATCTGTGTAGTGAGACCCTGTACTAAATACATTAAAAAATAAATAAATACATGAAAATCTTTGGGTTGAAGACATAGCTCAGCGGCTAAGCACCTGCCAGGCAAGTGTAAGGTCCTGAGCTCAATCCCTGGTAACAAAAGAAAAAAAAAATTATCTGCACCCTGGGTGACTTCGTAGAGCAGGGTTAACCCAGGGCACCCCTCCTGGAGGCCCACCTCCCTGCCTTACCCCAAAGACACCTGGTGCCCAGAGCCTTTGCTGCTCCAGGAAAGGAGACCATCATGGCTTTTGAGAAACTCGTTTTCCTATACTTACACCTCGCTGGGACAGTCAGATTTTATTTCTGCATATATGCCAATTAGCATAGCTAGTACCAAGCCTAGAATATTCCTAAGCAAATCAGGGAGTATGGTCCAAGAATATGCTCACTGCCGACAGGTTTGCCCTGCCCGGAGCCTTAACAGCAAATGCTGCAGGAATACCGGTGATATTTTTAACAAGATTAACATTCTAACACTTAGAGTGACTTTTAAAGATATTAAATTGATTTCTTGTCTAATTTGGATTGCTTTGGTAGATGAAAGCAATAGTGATATAAAATATAAGCTACTGTTATTTCATACAAACATACATACAAAGGCATATATCCATATATGCGTATGTGTGCTTATGTTATCCTCAACAATTAGGTTCATCATTATAACTACTGGGATATGCTCTATTTCTTTTGTATCTCTACTGTAATATATTTTACTTTATAATTACTCAGTAAACTTGTTGACTAAATGTGTTTTATAACAAAACAAGAACATATATGCAGTAAATTATTTTGAACGTCTTCTTTATA